GACCAGTCTAGAAATCAACTGCATTACCGAGCACTCAGAAGCTGCTGAACGGCTGTGTGAGTGTGTGTGTGGTGGTGTGTGTGTGTGTGAGAGAGAGAGAGAGAGAGAGAGAGAGAGAGAGGATCTAGATGGACGCAAGACCATCAGAACCCAGATTCTGACAGCTCTTCTAGGGCTAGCAAAGGAACGGAAATTGTTCTCACCTCCCACCTCCACTGCCAGGTCGGGGCTCAGGGGACACCTGAGGGGTGAGTTTGGGAGAGTTGCGCATTCCCAATTTAACCCGTCACTGAGGCTGCTCCTGCTCTCTGCAGACTGTGAGTCACAAAGTTTGTTGGTGGCAGAGGAAGCTGAGAGCTTGGTATATAGACTCGGCAATCAGTGGGCAGAAAGAGAGAGAGAGAGAGAGAGAGAGAGCCTTTTAATCGGTCTCCTTCTCTGCCCAGTTGGTAATACGTCTGCATTTCTGAACCAGGTCGACATCAGCAAGTGTTATCTCTCTTGGATGATCCAAGGGGGCAGTGGGTGGCAGGCGAGGTTGCCCTCAGAGCGCCTTCGGCTGGCGCGGGGCCTCTGGGGAAAGGCGACGAGGCAGATGTGCTTTAGAAGCCAGGAGGCTGTGAGGTGCCCAGGAGAGAGCTACTTTCTGACTCTCTGTGTTCTCCCGTCTCCTTTTCTGCAGACTGAGCAGCCTGAAGCTGCAGATCACTTGACAAAAGCATGTGACTGCAGGGGGACCTGCAGTGGGGAAGGAGTTAGGACAAGGCCCATCAGAATGGGTAAGAATTAGGAAGCCTCGTTCTGCTGGGCCACCCTGTGGCATTTAGTCTGAGTCAGTCGGATCCCTGAGCACTGGGGTCCCCGTCTGCTCTACTGTATGAAGCATGTCAAGGGAGAGTTGGCCAGGACAGCAAGGTGAACTGGGAAGCTAACCTATCTGGCTGCTGTTTTCTGATGCCCATAGATTTTTTTGTTTCTTTTATGATATGTTGGTATTCCTGTAGATGCAAGTAGAGGCGGCACTTACCCCTGAGTGATTCATAGAAAGATGATAGAGCAAGTGAGCTGGGCAGTTGCCTGCAGCAAAGGAAAGTCACCCCTAGCTGCTTGGGAGGTGATGGTTGTGTCTCACTCAGTGCAAAGCCTGGTGCTGGGAGGTGTGAGAGGGAGCCCACTGTCCAAGGGGAGGCCTCATCCGCCTGGTTTTTAGTATTTCCTTGACTTTCATGAAAAGAAAGGGTCCATGTGATATTTGTAATAATTCTCTCTCCAGCAGTCAATAGCCTGATGAAAGAAAATGTGGATAGGGAGGTCGGAAAGGCATAGAGTCACAGACTTCTTACATTTAGTTCTTATGTTATTTCTGTTAGTTAAAATCCTTTTCTTTTGTGATGAAAAATTAAAATGTATAAATGAAATGAAAGTTTGTTCTCTAAAAATGCTATTCTTTTCATGTAATTGTCTCCCCATCTTTTAAAATCATACGATATGACATTTATATGGGACATATATATTTTCCCACATTTTCCCAGTGAGTTGTCCAAGGTAACACCGTTAGATGGAATAGTGCAAAATGCAGACTGGGGCTTCCTGACCAGTGCGCCCCCCTCCCCCCATGACTTGGGTAAAGTCTCATTAGGAAAATGCCACCATGGATTTTATTTGTTGAGCAGTGAGGCGCCCCCACCCCCCCCCCATGTAGAGCCAAAAGTCACCAAGAGCTTTGGGTAATGATGACCCTTGACTACCTGCCTTGGTGACTGATCTATTATGAATTCATGTGCCCTAACTCCGGTCCCCAGCTCTCAGCAGCTCTCAGCTGCTCGGCGACCCTGGACAGATCTTGGTCTCCCCTCTTCACCCTTCCTCACTTTACCTCTGCCCCTCCCCCCCAACTCAGTCTCCCTCAGTCTTCTCTGTCTGTTTCCTTCTGTCTGTGGGGGAATAAGGGTCCCGTGTCTTTGCTGGAGGACACAGTGCTATCAGGGACAGAAAGGATCCTAGACCTGGGGGCCGCCTATCTCAATGCAAAAGCCAGGTCCCGGGTATGTGACCTTAGGCAAGTTGCGTCATCTCTTGGAATCGTATCTCAGTAAAATGGTGAGGAGGCTCCGAGCCTGGCACTGGCCGTGGCCATGCAGCGGAGGAGGTTGTGTGCTCACAAGTCGATTGCTCAAGAGCCTGGCCCCTTCGGCTGGTCTTGGGCCTTTACCCGGCTCGCCTCCTCTCTGCCAGCTCCTGAAGATGTCTGTCTGTGTCACCTCCCACCCCACCTTAAACTCACCAGTCACCTTGACCTAGTTGGCCATTCCAGCCACCAAACAGCCTCCTCAGCACGCACTCATTTCCAAACCCCAGGCCCTTTCTGGAAATGGCTGTCCAAAGGCCCCGGTGACTTTGCGGTCTTGTGTATACCTATGAACACAGATTGACCAGGGCTGGAACAATAGAAGCACTGGGGGAGGAAGATTGGGGGCACATCCTGTGCAAATATGGGTTCCCGTTTGCATTTCTTTGTGTTGGAATTGTATACCTAGAAGGTGCCCTGTGCCCCTCTCCCGGGATGGAGCCGTGCTGGTCCTGCCTGGGAGCAGCCCACCCACCGCTGAGGTGGGGCAGAGCTGCCTGAGAAATGCCACCCTCTGGGATCGGTCTTGCCGGCCATGCATAGTGAGGAAAGGAAAGGTGTTCCCCAGAACCACAGTCTGTGTGGCCGGGTCCCACTCAAACGAAGCTGCTCTGACAGTCCCCCTCACCCGTAGGTGCTGCCGCAAGCCCAGCAGTGCCTGTCGCCCTGCTCTGTGGCTGAGGGTGCTGACGTAGGGAAGGTGGCCGTGGCTAACTCTCTGTACATGTGCTTCACAGAGCACGTGTGCGTGCTGTGACGGTTGCGGGCGGCCTGGAGAAGCTCCAGGGAGGTGCAGGGCTCATCTTTGCAGAGATTTCTATAGGTCCTGCTGCTGCTTATCACAGGGGACGCCCACATACCACACACAGGTGTGCGCATGCACACACACACACGCTCCTCCCTCCTCACCTCTGTGCACACTCCCTACACACAACTACTCACCCCCACGCACAAAACACATGCTCCAACCTCCTTGCCTCCCTGCACACTCCCCCCCATTAAGCCCCTCCCCCTCCCATGTACACATACACGCACACTCCAATCTCCTCGCCTTCCCTGAACAGTCACCCTGCCCCCAACTCCTTTATTCTTAGGAGGGGGCTGGGTAAGTCGAGCCTGTCTTCTCTCTCTTGCTGCCCACAGTTCAATGAACTCAGTTGCCTTTTTCTTCCTGCACATCAAGAAAAAGAAAAAGTGACTATCACCTTAGAGAAAATCTGGAAAGGAGAGTGGGGGGGCGGGGGGGTAGGGGGGAGACCATCCACAATTCTACCCACTAAAGCCAGCCTTTTAGATGATTATATAAATTGCCACTAGGATTTTGTGCTCGCCTGCTTTTGCCCTTTCCTTTCTCTCTCTTTAGGGGTCCCGTCTGTGCTCACCCAGGCACGGTGATAAAGGAGCAGCAGGGAGCCCGTAGACTGGCTCTGCCCACAGGTAACCTTGGTCCCGACCCTCCCTGAGCCGGTTCCCTGGCTCTACAAAGGCGACAGCGCCCACCTCCCAGCAGAGATTGATCAGGAGGGGAGCGCTGCCCCCCCCCCTTCCCTTTCTTCAACTCTCTCTTTCCTCTCTGTTTCTTAATGTTTTTTAAAAGAGGGCAACAAGAAAAGTAAACTTATGTCCCATAAGCTTAATAAACAGTGCTTGTGAAACTGTTTCTTGTATCAAACAAACAAACAAAAAATCTAATTTACAAAGCATTTTTTCCCCTCTGGTAGTTATCCAATCCTTCCAGAAAATTTGGAAAACTATAAGCAAGTAAAACTGCTTTTACTGTCTTGATATCTTTCCTTCCATGCATTTGTTTTTGTAGTTGGAATTATCATTTTACATAATTGTATATTCTATTTTTTCTATTTAACATTAGAATATAAACATCCCCTCTAAATTAATAAAAGCTTGCTGACTGCCATTTTTAATGACTATGCAACAGTCCACCGAATGGATGTATAGTTTCCTTATTGTACATTTAGGTTATACATAAAGATTCAATATTATAACCCTGGGAAGGGTATCTGGTGCCAAAAGATTTCTCTAAATTTTGGAAGAATTCCCTAGCCTGTCGCCCTCCAAATCGGTTGATCAAGGTACATAAACATTTTAAAGATTTGTTATATGTTGTCAAATTGTTTTCAATTTGTATCGATTACACTCCCACCAGCAGTTAGGAGAGTATCCATGGCCCCATACTCTCCAAAGCATGAAACACTGAGATTTTTTCCCTAATGTTTGCTAATTCTATATAAAAGTTGGATCATTTTAACTTGGATTCTTTAGTACTAGTGAAGTTAAACACTTCCTGTGTTTTTTAGCCATTTGCATTTTAGTGAATTGTCATGAGTGTTTTATTTTTTTTTAGGATATTAACCATTTGCCTGTCATTTGCTTTATATTGTATGTTTTGAAGGGAAATAGACATAAACCATCAAGTATTTGTGGAGTGCCAGCTTACATGGTACTACAGAGGGCATCATGGGAGACGCAGAAACGAACAGAAGTCCTTCCCACCAAGAGGATTACAATTTCAGTGGGCAGGCAGGTTGTAGAGTGAGCACAAAATTAAATGACAAAGATAGGTTCAGTCAGATGGCACAGCTGGGCAGGGCGAGATGGAGTAACCCATCCGATGAGGGTCAGCCAGCGATCTTGTAGTGGAAGGTGGGCCTCTTCAGGAGGGCTTCGGGGCAGAGCAGGCGTCTGTGCAGGGGTCTGAGCTGGGTGGGGAAGGGAAAGAGGTCTTGTCAGGTGGAGGCACAGTAAGTGCACTGAGGTGGGGAAAGAGAGGACCTGCCCAGGGGGAGTTAGGAGGGGGAGCTACCTGGGTGTGGTAGAGTTTAGGGGGAGAATTATGTGATGGAGAAGGAGATGTGTCAGGGCAAGGCGTGTCCCCTTATCCCTGTGAGCAGGAGAAGCCGCTGAAGATTTGTAACTGTCCAAGGGCTGATTTGGTCAATTGATGTTTTAGGGCCGTGGTCGGCAAACTGCGGCTCGCGAGCCACATGCGGCTCGTTGGCCCCTTGAGTGTGGCTCTTCCACAAAATACCACAAAATACCACGTGCGGGCATGTACAGTGCGATTGAAACTTCGTGGCCCATGCGCACAAGTCGGTATTTTGTGGAAGAGCCACACTCAAGGGGCCAAAGAGCCGCATGTGGCTCACGAGCAGCAGTTTGCCGACCACTGTTTTAGGGAAATGAAGATGGGGGCCCTCGCCGAAAAGGGGATGGGATGGGATGGGGATGGTGTGAAAGTGAAGAAAAGCAGAAAGATACCAGCTACAGGTGGTAGGCCACGGAGTGAGGAAGCTGTGGACCAGCTACAGTCGTGCATGTGCTGTGGCAGATGTTTGCCCCTTTAAAAGAAGCAGTAGGACCAGGTGGTTGGGAAAGATGGGGGTGTGGGATAAGGTGAATTGAAACTTTAAAAAAAAAACATACCCAGTGCACATTAAATGTGGCTTATAGAGGCAGATATAGAAAATGGTATATTCTGAAATGGGTGCTAGATTACCTAGAGCTGTAAACTTATTATAATCTAACCTTTTCTAAAAGGATTTGGGGCATATATTTTACACCTGTGCTGCAATAAGTAAAGGAGACAAATAAAAGGAAATCTACGAGTAGAATGGAAAAAAAATAAAGCCAAGA